AGAGACTCTCCGAATCAAGAAAAAAATAGAAATTGAAGCTAAAACGAGAGATCGTTGTGTTCTTAATTTTTGTTGTTTGCGAATATGACTTCTCGAACAAAAACTAGTTAAAGAAAATTCTTTAAGAGACAAACGAAACCAATTTCGTATTAGTGAGAATCATGAATCATAAACCATGTTCACCTGTCACATTCTGCTCTGATATTAGAACTCCAAATGTTCAAGTAGTAACCGCTACAAATCATTATCGTTAAGAAATGCACAATTAAGACAAACCACGAAAAAGATTAAGTATGATCGAAAAGACTTCCTCGGAGTAAATTAACGGTTTCGGTGAATCGTGATGCCGAATTGATGCGAATCTGTGATATTCTCCACCTTCGGCGTTAAATGGCAAGACACTCGTCATATATAATTATCTTCTTTCTGTCACCTTTCAGGTGATCACTGCGAACGACAAGACCACTGTGCCTCGTCGCCATGTCGGAACGGGGCTGAGTGCCGGTCCCTCGAAGACAGCTACGAGTGCACGTGTGCACCCGGCTTCACGGGCCCGAATTGCGCGGAGGACATCGACGAGTGCGACAGGAAGCCGTGCATACACGGCTCCTGCAAGAACATCCACGGATCCTACAAGTAAGTTGAACGACATCGTTAACGGACCGTTCCAGTATGTTACATATCTTCTCTGAACGTAAATTGCGCTCTCGCGTCGGCCCGCCGTTTCCGATAATGCAGAGCACAACTCAATTTCAAGCAGCTGATTGCACTTTGTCTTCTCTTTCTTTAGCCTCCCCAGCGCTGCACCGTTGCCACTAGAGAACTTTTTCGACCTCGTTTTTACCTTTCCCTTTTGGTATAATAAACCGTTGAATTATCTTCGTGAGATAATTCTTTGTTGTTTATACATGGGCCGTGGATTTCATTAGAAAAACATTAATACATCAAATGGAAACAAGTAAAACAATTGACAGAATTTCAAGATACTGAATTGTTTTCAATACATTCGAATTATGAAGTGAAAACAATCAATGTTCTGCAGTTACTGCAGACAATTTTTATTTTGCGGAAAAATCCACGGTCTAATTATAAATATTGTTCCTAGTATATGAGCCGTTTATTTTGAAAGTGGCATAAGTCACTTTTTCAAAAAAATCGAGTTAATGGTAACACTAATTACAATTGAACGGTATCTTTTCATTAAAAAAAAAAAATAAAAAAAGTGACTTATGCCACTTTCAAAATAAACGGCTCATATTACGTTATGTCTATGCTCTGCAATTTCTTCTCTGGAATTTTTGATACAAGCCCACGTACGTTACAATATTTGCATCGGTCTTACAATGTTTACACAAGCTGCACAAAAATTCGAACATTTTGTTCCGGGGCTTTGAAATGTTTTCATAAATCGTACAATTTCTCTGAACGAATGCTTTCGATTTCCACGAGTTTGGAAATTATCGTTCGGCACGGTAATGTTTTTGCGTATCGTATAACATTGTCGCGAAGGTTTGAATGTCTCGAAAGCTATGCAACTTTTTCGGGGGTCCTGTAATTCCTTGGCAGTCCCAAAATTGTTCGTCGGGCATCATGGGTAGCAGGCCAATCGGATAAGACGGTCCCGATCTCTCCCCCCCGGCCTTCTGACAGAGGAACAGGCACGCATCACGGCTACTTTGTACTTAACATAAATTTTGATCACCGTCCGGGGCAGATTTTAATCTCGTCAGTGTCTTCGCTTTTGAAATTCGGCGCGCACAGACGAGGGTTGCCGGTCGGTACCGGCCCCGGCCATGGAAATTGATTGAGGCCTTTACGTTTGTGTGAAACACGTAGCGCAACATGCGGCGTAATGTATTCGGGTACTTTTGCGGCTTAAACTCCGTTATTAAATTTCTGACAGTGAAACTCTGTTGCTCGCGCAAGATAAACAGCTTTCCGATGGCTTCGACGAAACCAAATATTGAAAATTGATGGCTACCGGCACGGTCGCCTCACCTTAATGCACGAGCAGTACGATTTCGACGGTGGCCTGCGGAAGGATTCTCGCGTGAAATGAATGCGAATGTCGGAGGCAAGGTGGATCCAATTTTTCGGAAGGTTTCCAAGCTGTATATATCTTTTAATTGGAATTCGTTCTCTAGAAACTTTCATTTGTGAAATCGAAATTCGAAAGGGATGATTTATATACCGTGGAGATTGCCACTTTGATCGTTTCACGGTTGAAAAATTCGAAAAAAATTGATTTCGTATTCGTATACGAAATAAGATCTTTCGCAGATCGTATTCGCTTTTTTGCACTCGATAATAATCCTTTTGTTGGTCATGTTCAGTTTTTTCTAAATAAAATTAACCCTTTCACAGAGCAAACTTGCCTTTGTTTTATCCACTTTTTACATTTAATATGGATTTATATAACTTTCTCATTAAATAATACAAACATTACAACTAATTAATCTTCATTAATCTTCAGTAATCATTTGTGTAAAATGTCATTCAATTTTTATATTTGATATGAATTTATATGCTTACTTATAAAATAATACGTGTCTCATTACAAATAATTAATCTTCACTAATTATTCAAAAATTCCATTAAATTTTTACATTTGGTATGAATCTTATTACAAATAAGCGAGAGTATCAAAGGGGTAAGACCTGTAAAAGGATTCATTTTATTTGTAAATATAGATTATATCTGCAAAAAGATTAATCTGGCGTACGATAAAATGAAAATACAGTACGATCTACAAAAGGATTAAGTTCTCTGCAAAACCTGTATATCACGATAAAAATTCATTTCTAGTAAAAATTGTAATACAACATCCGATTATCAAAATAAAAGGAAAATCGTTTCTATAGAATTGCCGATACACGATACATAATAGTACAATCTCAAATATCATTTACATTTTACCACGAATTAAAAGAAAGGTCTGTTTGAACAGTTAAACTTTAACCCTGACTTTCGCGCATATACTAATCAAATAATTAGCGGTAGCCGCAGGAAAACATTTCATTCGAACGAGTCAGTGTATCCGAGAAATTGCAAAGCGCATAAACGTGTTGCTTAACACGTTCCGCGCCACGTGTACCATCCATGGTACACGCTTGCATGTTTACTTAGTGAACTGAACAAATTGTTTACAAGAAATTTAGAACCGAAGAATCAATTTCCACCGCAAGAATGGGCGTTGATAAGTTTTTGTTACGTTGTTATGTGTACGAGAATTAATAATTGCACGTAATACATCAAGTTTTAGTAAAATATCAAAGTGTGAAGATTCGAGTAAAAAAAGCTCGGCACGGAACGTGTTAACTATAAGAAGCCGGGGAAGACGACGCGTAACTGTGCAACTGGACAAATTCTTTACCCTCGCGATACTTAAGGCTTCCTCGTAGCCGAGGACTCCGAGCGGTCATCAAACTGTATCAAAGGCAGCAGAAAGCCAGAATTACCGTGAATATTTTCCAGGAACGCGTGTAAACTGTTCCATTAATTGCTTAATCGAGCGGAGTGGACGCGACGCGCGACGCGGGCAGATGCGCTCTGCACGACCGCGCCGCGAGACTCGATGACGATGACGATCGGGATGACGATCAGAATGACGATCGCGGGGGAAAAAGAACGGAGAACGGTCATGCACGTCGCGTCGACCTCTCGAAAATATCGTTGCGGCCCAGCGAGCGTGGTGATGAGGGTGCAGAGAACCGCGGTAGTGTCGTTCGTCTTTGTCGCAATTACCGATTGAGCACGGACGCTGGAACGTGAAGCGCATAATGACGCCGAACAACGAGGATCCATCGAGTCGATCCCACGGCCCATTACGGATTTGCTCGTAATTCGACGTTCCGACGCCTCAAAAATCACTTTCGTACCAAGGGCCGCGCCTTTTTCGGCCCGATCTCGTACGCTCGCTGCCTAAGATCCTTCCCTTCGCAACAGTTGCAGAAAGTGAAACGATCGCGCGTTCGTTACGGGACGTTCGTTACACGATCTCCAACGAAAGGTCTCGGGGATCTTCCGACGAAGTTGCGAAAGGCGGCTCTCGAAGGGCAGTTTCTTGCGTCCACAGTGATTCAAACTTTAGACGATCGCTCAAAACTTCGGCACATGCGTTCATGCATCCCTGTAGATATATTTTTGTGCGATTTATTAAAATTTTGCGAAAGTAAGGAACTATGTTTGCAGTTTTTTTTAGTGAGCAAACGCAATTTCATCACGAAGCTAAAAAGTAGTTTTAGCGTAGGTACTGGAATGCCTACCATTATAAAACTTCCAACAGATGAAGGAAGAAGTTTTATCTTTAAAAAAGAAAGTTTGTTTAATATTCAAGATATTAATCAGAAAAGTTTATGGATCTGAAGATTTTGCTGAAATAGAGGGAAATGTTTCGATTAACACCAAATCTACCAGGTTCTAGGAATGACTAACGTGTATTATTTTATAAGAATGGCAGGACTGAATTCATTTTTATCTTTCGCTATTTTTATCATGATACATATATGGTTGAATAAAGAAATATATTTAATAATGCCGTATCGAAGTGTCTTTATTATATTATAATTATTTATTATATTTATTATTATATTATATTATAATTATATTATAATATATATATAATTATATATATATATATAATTATATATATATATATAATTATATATATATATATAATTATATATATATATATAATTATATATATATATATAATTATATATATATATATAATTATATATATATATATAATTATATATATATATATAATTATATATATATATATAATTATATATATATATATAATTATATATATATATATAATTATATATATATATATAATTATATATATATATATAATTATATATATATATATAATTATATATATATATATAATTATATATATATATATAATTATATATATATATATAATTATATATATATATATAATTATATATATATATATAATTATATATATATATATAATTATATATATATATATAATTATATATATATATATAATTATATATATATATATAATTATATATATATATATAATTATATATATATATATAATTATATATATATATATAATTATATATATATATATAATTATATATATATATATAATTATATATATATATATAATTATATATATATATATAATTATATATATATATATAATTATATATATATATATAATTATATATATATATATAATTATATATATATATATAATTATATATATATATATAATTATATATATATATATAATTATATATATATATATAATTATATATATATATATAATTATATATATATATATAATTATATATATATATATAATTATATATATATATATAATTATATATATATATATAATTATATATATATATATAATTATATATATATATATAATTATATATATATATATAATTATATATATATATATAATTATATATATATATATAATTATATATATATATATAATTATATATATATATATAATTATATATATATATATAATTATATATATATATATAATTATATATATATATATAATTATATATATATATATAATTATATATATATATATAATTATATATATATATATAATTATATATATATATATAATTATA